AGGGGCTGACCGGCAGGTTCACGTAGGTGGCCGCCTCGCTGTCCCCAGACCCCGGGGCTCCTGCAAGGGCAGGGTGAGGATGAGCTGGGCTGGCCGCAGACAGCAGGGGATGGGGTGGGGCGGGAGCACAGCTCCCCTCCTCACACAGGTCCCCTATCTGAACGTTCTGTCCGGCCTGCACTAACCCTCCCTGTCCCAGCACCACCTCCCCTTTCTCACCGTCCGCCCACCTTTCTGATAAGAGACCCTCAGCCTCGCCCCTCCCCCGCTGAGCACCTCTCACTGGGTCCTCTCACAGTCCCAGGAGGATGCTCCCCTCCTGGGGACCCCTGCCCCAAGTGCCCTAGGTCCCACAGACAGCACTGTGTCCAGCCCTGGACCATTCACCTTCTAATGCTGTGGCCCTCTCAGTCCAGTCTTCCTAGCCATTGCCTCCGCCACCTCCCCCTGCTCTGTCTTCCCAGCTGGCCACCACCCCGGGCCACCCCACCTGCCAGGGACCACCTCTATCCTCACCCAGACCACCCCAACAGAGAACCAGCCCCTCCTCCAGCACCTGCCCTCTGCATTCTCCATGATCGAGAACGTGGAAGGCTGGGGTCCGGAGAAGTGTCTGTGCTGGCAGGAGGGGCCCCAGAGCCCTGTCTACCTGTTACCAAGCCCCGGGAGGACCCCAGCCCCTGAAGCAGGGCTCCATCCCTCTTCCAGGGGATGACAGAACTTCTGGATGGGCCTCAGGAATGGGGCATGTTGGCTGTGGGGTTCCAGTACCCCCCGATCCCAGCCCGATCAAGCCTCTAAACCCACACAGAATCCATGGTCACCTCCCATCTTGCAGCCTACACCTCCCGTTTTCCCAGGCCTGACTTAGGGCCCACACCACCCAAGCCCTTTCAGGCACCCCACACTCAGAAGGAGGGACCCGGTGTTCTCCCAGGCCTGAGCCACAAGGACTAGGATAAGGCAACCCACTGGCCTGGGCGCCACCTTCCCACAGCCCGTGACCTGTGGCCTCTCCCCCAGCACCCAGGGCTGCCGGACCAGGGTCTGCCAGTCTTCCCAACAAGCAAGCTTCTGCCGCTGCCCCACATTGCCCTGGCCAATGCCAGCAGCCTACGGCCACCCCCAGATTCTTGACAACCCCGCAATTCCTAGGCCCCTCTCACCTGGATGCCCCGTCCCTCTGCCTTCAGCCAGCTTCCCCTGACCACTTCCCAAGGTGCCCAGCTGATACCCACAGAGGCTGGCCAACTTCCCCTGTGCTGTACCAACTGCCCAGTGCCCAGTACCAACTGCCCATTCCCCTATACCCACTGCTCATGCCCCCTCCCTTGTACCAACTGCCCACTTCCCTCTACCCATGCCCACTGCCCTGCACCAACTTCCCTCTGCAACATGACCCTGGCCTGCTGTGACCTGTGGCTTCCAGAGCCATTTGTCCATCTTGGCCACTGCTGTGGGCACACAGCCTCTCAGGGGCTTACCTGCACGTGGTGCTGGGAATCCGGAGGGTGACGCTGCCATTGCCTGGACCAAAGAGAACATCTGTCAGGGCATCGCCTGACTTCCATGCCCCACTCCCGGGCCAGGGAGTCAGCCACCCCAGACACACCCCAAGGCAGGATTGACTTCTCAGCCCTGGGACCTTCGGCGCCAGGACCCAAGTTGGCCACTAGCCTGAGGCCCAGCCCACTTCCCAGGGGGCCACTCGCAGGAGGTGTGGTGGGTGGCATCAGAGCCACTGTTGGTCACCAGGGCGAAGCCAAGCCCGGCATTTTGAGCTGTTGCAGTGGGTCAGGGCCCACATGGCCCACCAGGCCTGTCAGCTCTCTGGACTTGGGAGTCCAGCTCAGAGGCCCGGAAAAGGGTGCCTACATCTCAGGGCCTGGTGAAAGGCTGAGTCCCTAGGGGTTGAGCATCATGAACATGCCCCACTACCCACCGAAAGGTTGGGGGTTCAATTCCACCAAGCATCTCAGAAAAAAGGCTTGGCGATCCACCTCTGAAGCTCACCCTTGGAGAACCCACAGAAGTGCAGCTCTGGCCTGACACACAGGGCCACTGAGGTAGGATCTGCCTGACGGCACCCGATGTTGGGATTCCAGGAGGGGACAGAATTCAGAGGAGGGGTGGCACTGTGGCCTCAGAGCCCTGGTTGCTGGTGGTGCCCATGGCCCGGTGTGAGGCCCAGGGCCTGGGCTGGGTAGGGGTCAGGGTGGGGGAAAGGCAGCGGTGGGCATTGGGAGGCTGGGCATGGGGTGTGTGGGCCCAGCTGAGTCTGGGTGGGAAGGGGCTCTAGCAGCCTGCCCCACCTCCGAGCCCAAACCAAACTCCATGCTGCTCTCAGCTCGGCCAAAATGTCGCGGGGCCCTGCCCAACCCAGAGCCATACTGGGCCAGGGCCAGAGGCATAAGTGCCCCCTCACCTGGATGTGAGGGCCCATGAGGGGCAGCAGCTTGAAGCTGTCTAGAGTAGGGGCAGGGTATGGGCAGTGGGGAGACCTTAATCCTGTGACAAAAATGCCTCAAACGATCAAGCCTTAGGGACCTGCCCGCCCCCCAACCACCACCACAGCTCCTCCTGCCATGCAGGGCTGGGGTCCTAACTGCCCAAGGCAACCTCCAGGGCCCCAGATGTGTGGGGACCCCCATGAGACCCTCAGGGGGCTGTATGTGCCCCCACAGGTGCCGCTCACTCTAGGGGGCTGGTCCCACAGATGCAGCATCAGATCGCCAGCCCCTGTGTGGGTGGGATGCAGCCAGGAAAAGAGCTGGGATGGATGGGGCCCACCCAACCCTTCACCTTGGCCCAGGGAAGGTGGGGAGGACATGTGGCAAGCAGCTGCCCATCTGGTCTCCCAGTCCAGCCCAAGGAGGGGCGGGCCATGTCCCAGTACCCCAACCCCAGGAGAGAGGCAGCAGCCTAAGTGGGGATGAGGTAACCCTCCTGAGGGAGACCTACATCCTTGCCCACCCCCAGGCCATCATGGGATCTCTCCAGCAGCATTCCAGCCCTCTGGATGGCTACTCCCAGGTTCCCACCCTGAAGTCACTGGTGGGCCAGTGGGGGTGGAATGGGGGACATGGTCCTCTTAAAACAACAGCCCATTGGGGCAAGGATGATTGCCCTGATTCATGAAGGAAGAAACTGAGGCTCAGAGAGGTATCAAGACTAGCCAGTTGGGTGGGGTTTGGTCCAACCAAGACTCCACGCTGCTCTGTCCTGAGTTGAAGAGTCCCAGGGACCCTGACGGGCATGCAGGACCGAGGCTATGCCTGGACTCGGGGAGGGTGGTCTGCAGGGATTCCAAGCTCAAGCCAGGCCACAGGCGAAAGTGTACCCTCACCTGGAACTCCTCTGGACTTCGGCCCAGGGACAGAAACATGCATACCATCCATGCATGCTTACACTGCCATGCACACACGGGCATGCACACACATGTATATCACAACCCACCCCCTGACCCATACATGCATACATACATACAGCACTCACAAGTACATATGCACGCCTCTGGCACATACAGGCATGCACATACTGCATATACCTGCACAGTGTGCACTCATGCATCACACGGAGACCCCTGGTTCATGTACACATGCACTGGCATGTCATACAAGCACGTGCATGTCAGACACTTAATCCCTGAGCCACAAAGCACGCGTGCCACACATAGGCACATGCGCACAAATCGCACAATGTATATCCGTACGCACATACACACATCACACACTAACCCCTGGTTTATGTAAACATACACACAGCACACATGAACGGGTAAGCGTGCACATGTACACGTACATGCACACGTGCCACACTCAGGCCCTGGGTCACACATGTGCACACGTGCATGCGCATGCACTGATGGCCCTCGGGTCACTTTCCCGCCTGCAAAGCATTCCAGTTCCGCTGATGCAAGACCCACAGGCCTCCTGGCCCAGGCCAAGGTCCCCCTCCAAGCCCCCAGGCAGCCCAATGGAAAGACAAGGCGGTAAAAAGAGCATTTTATTTCCTCAAAGGCTTTACAAACAGCGTCCCGCCCAGCAGAAGGGCCAGGAGGGGTGGGGGTGGGGGTGGAGTGTTCACGGTGAGCTGGCGGGCCTGGGCCCAGGCCGTCCACACTGAAGGGGTCTCCCACGTGTGTCAGGGTGTAAGTGTTGCGCAAAGGCAAACAATCCGAGCGGCTGGCACTCCCTCGCCCAAACCAGACTCCGCTGTGGCCCCGGTGGAGCCCTGCCTTCCAGACCCTCCACTCATCCCCAGGGCCAGGTGCCTGGCGGCAGGGTCCCCGCAGGGAGAGCCCCGGCCCCGGGCCCTGCCCACCGTGGCCTTTCCCAGTTAAGCCCGGGCCTGGACCGCTGTGAGTGGTCTCGGGGAACCCCAGAGGCCGCGCCCTGCATGCCCTAAGCGTCAGTTTCCTCCCAGCCAGGCCGCTGCGCGCCATGCACAGAACTCAGCCTCGTGGGGAGCTGGGCTCCCCCGGAAGGGGCAAGAGGGGCTCAGTCTCAGGCCGAGTGTTGGGGAGGAGAGGCCTGGGAGATGTATGGATTGGACTCAGGTGGACAGTGGAGCATTGCGTCCACGCTGCCCGAAAGAGCCTCGCAGCCCCAGCACCCCAAAATGGGAGGCCGTGGGGAGGCGGGGTGCACGGAGTCTCTAGGCCCCACGGAGGGTCCTAGGGTGGGTGCCTGGCGCGCAACCAGGAAGCCTGGGAATAGGCTCTGCTGTCCCCAGATGTCCACCTAGCATGGTCCAGGGTGCCTCCCCTCGACGGCGCAGGAAGCCAGGGCCTTCCAACAACTGCTCAGCCCAGAGCAAGTCCCGAGGGCCAGCGGACCCCAGGGCTGGAGGGCGGCGGCCCTCAGGGAGGAGGCCTTACCTTGAATCCTCCACACACCGGGCAGGCGGAGAAGCTAGCCGGGCTGGGCCCCGCAGGCGGGGCGGCCGCCTCCCAGGGTTCACCTGACACCTCGGTTGCCGGGCCCCGCACTTCCGTGCCCGGCCAGCCGGAGGGACACCCCGCAGAGTCCCCGGCGGTAGCAGTGCTGGGGCGAGCGGCGGCTGCGCCCTCCTCGGGGCTACTCGGCGTGGCCTGGTCCCTGGGCACCTGGCGCAGGCTGCGCGGAGTGTCGTAGTGCGGCCTGGGCGCGCCAGGCACCTGGTACTCGGCCGCCCGTGGTGTGGCGCCAGGCGGGCACGCGCACAGGCTGGGTTCGGGCGCCCCGGCGGCGGGGGGCAGGCTGAGCAGGGAGCCGAATTCCTCGGGGGACGGCCACACCTCCAGGCTGCTGCCCGCATAGGACGAGAAGCTGCCTGAGCAGGACGAGTGACTGCCGGTGGCGATGCCGCTGTCCGAGGAGCCTTGGCGGCCGACATCCTGCAGCTGCCGGGGCCGCAGCGGCTTGGGGGGCCCAGACTGGGAGGTGCCCGGGACCACCTCGCCCGAGGACGCGGCCTCGCCCAGGTGCAGGGCCCTCGCAGCTCCGGGCGCCGGGCCCTCCTGGGACGTGCTGGCAGAAGAGGAAGGCTCCGGCCACGGGGTCAGTCGGCTGCCGGCGGCACTGACGTCCGAGTGGCTGGCCTCAGAGGACGAGCTGGACAGGCTCCGGTCATCCCCTGGAACAAGAGGGGGCTATGCCTGTAAGTACCCGAGCAGGGGGCGGGGGAGGTGGGGGGAGCTCTGCGAGGGACTCACCGCAGGGAGGGTCAGGGCTGGGTGAGGTCCGCAGTGATAGGGGTGAGCTCTCTGGGGCCCAGGCAGTAGAGAAGTCAATTCACTTCCCAGCCCGCCCCAGCAGCCCCTGTCCCTGCAGCCTTGTCCTTATCCTAAAGCAAAGACTGGGGCCTGCCCTGTAAGCCCTGTGTCACCTGAGCACACCCTCCCCCCAAGTCTACACCCACCACCATCCTGCCCCCCCTCCAGTATCTTCAGGCCCCAGGGCGCATGGATGGGCCCTTCCATCCCGCACCTAGAGCACTCCTGCACAC